CAAATATGTTCATTAGACATAATTTAGCGGGAGAGGAATAACACCACACTTTTAGAACAAGTCCGGGTCAAAAAGAAGAAGAAGAAGAAAAAAAAAAATGGTTGTTAATTAAACAAGTCATGAAAAATGGCGTGACAAGGAGACCGTCCAAAGACACCAGACTTTCTCTAATGATGTGCTGCTACGACAGACAGGTACCCGTCGCTTTGCCCCAAAGCAGAGCCGAGGGAAGAAAGCAACTATTTGAACATCTCCCATGGCTTCGAGCAAGGCTAGCGAAAAAACCGCACCCACGTCACGAACCCAAGTTTGACCACACGGTCCGCCTGGATTTCAGTGGCAGTGCGATTTCTCCCGTTTGGAGATGCGGTTTCACTTGCTGTCTTCGTGGCTTAAAGTGACTCCTTCACAGCCAAACCAGACGGTGCACCTGAGGAACAGGTGCACCGTCAGCACTCTTCCCATTGGCCATGGGTTGAGCTTCGAGGTGGGCGGGAGTCGGATACCCAAGGCAAAAACAGAGAGCGCCTGAGCTGGGCTTCCAGCCGGTGGGGTTGCGGGCATGGTCCCCTGAATACCTGGGGGAAAGAACTGAACCCGGGGGGAGTTAACTACAGCGACAGAAGGGCACAGAGGTTTTCCGACCGGCCACCCACCCTGCCTCAGCCTCCACAGGAAGGGACGGTAGTCACACGGTAGAAAAGGCCCCCAGATATCTTCTGGGACCCGCAGGTGCCCCGGGCCGGCCTGCTTGTGTGGCAGGCGTCAGTCGTTGCTCTGTGCGTCCGAAGAGTTATTGCGGCTGGGTGCTCCAAAGGCAGTCTGCAAAGCAGAACGGGCACACGCGTGCATTTGGAGTCCCACACGGAAAGGGACTTGGAGCGAGAGAGCAAACGCCATCTCAGGAAACCAAAGGAAGTCTGCACCGAAGCCATCTTTTTTTTTTTTTTTTTTTTTTTTGAGACACAGTCTTACTCTGTTGCCCAGGCTAGAGTGGCGTGGCGTCCCTCGCTCACAGCAACCTCGAAACTCCTGGGCTCAGCGATCCTCTCTGTCTCAGCCTCCTGAGTTAGCTGGGACTACAGGCATGCGCCACCATGCTGGGCTAGTTTTTTCTATATATTTTTAGTTGGCCAATTAATTTCTTGCTATTTTTTTAGTAGAGACGGGTCCTCGCTCTTGCTCAGGCTGGTTTCCAACTCCTGACCTCAAGCGATCTCGGCCTTCTCGGCCTACCAGAGAGCTGGGATCACAGGCGTGAGCCATCTTCCACTAAACCACACACCCCTCGCCCACACAAACACCCAGGCCACTATCTAAAGGGTAGTACTTTTATCACATTCTGCCCTTATACCCCTGCATACCACACTATTCCCGTCAGATCCAGGTGTGCCCCTTCACACACCAGGTAGTCCTTACCCGAGACACCCCCCAGCGTGTGCGTAACCACCCGAAAACCACACACAACACCAATCGACACCCGAGCGAGCTCTACCGAACACTCCCACACGCCAGCCCACACACACACACACGAAACACACACATATCACCTTTACACACATACGACACACACAAGATGTCGGGGCCCCCTACCCACAAAAGGAGACCCAAAGTGTGCCCCTTCCGAGAGACCCAGTGGGTGCCCCTCCCCGGAGACCCAGGGTGTGCCCCTTCAGCGAGACCCAGGTGTGCCCCCCTCCTGCAGACCGTCAGTGTGTCCCTCCCGATAGGCGAGGTGTGCCCCGTCCTTGATGACTCTCCACGGCCCACCTTCTCTGCCACGGTGTGCCTCCAAGACCCAGTGTAATGCCCCTCCTTCCCAGTGTGGCCCCTCCCGGAGACCCAGTGTGCCTCCTCCTGATGACCTCAGTGTGTTGCTTCTCCTCGAGACTCAGTGTGTCCCCTCCGGTAGACCTCTCATGGGTTGGTTCCTCTCCTCTCCCCAGAGACCCTCAGTGTTGTGCCCTCTAGGAACCCAGGGTGTGCCCTCCTGAGACCGCCAGTTGCCCCTCCCCGAGGGACCCAGTGTGCCCACTCCTGAGACCTCAGTGTGCCCTCTTCATTGAGACCCAGGTGTGCCCCTCGCTGAGGACCACAGTGTGCCCTCATGAGACCACAGGTGTGCCTCAACAAACCACAGCGAGACCAAAAACAGGCGTGCCCCTCCCGAGACCCAGGCGTGCCCCTCCCGAGACCCAGGCGTGCCCCTCCCGAGACCCAATGTGCCCCTCCCGAGACCCAGGTGTGCCCCTCCTGAGACCCAGTGTTCCCCTCCCGAGACCCAGTGTGCCCCTCCTGAGACCCAGTGTGCCCCTCCCGAGACCCAGGTGTGCCCCTCCTGAGACCCAGTGTGCCCCTCCTGAGACCCAGTGTGCCCCTCCCGAGACCCAGTGTGCCCCTCCCGAGACCCAGGTGTGCCCCTCCTGAGACCCAGTGTGCCTCTCATGAGACCCAGGTGTGCCCCTCCTGAGACCCAGTGTGCCCCTCATGAGACCCAGGTGTGCCCCTCCGGAGACCCAGGCGTGCCCCTCCCGAGACCCAGGCGTGCCCCTTCTGAGACCCAATGTGCCCCTCCCGAGACCCAGGTGTGCCCCTCCTGAGACCCAGTGTTCCCCTCCTGAGAC